AGAAAAGAGTGGAATGCTTTATGAAATATTTTTCGTATATCGAGCATATCACCCTTTTCTCTCAATAAAACAAATATTTTACGGTCAATATTACTGTCAGTTCATATAAAGAATTATTTTTCACTTTTTAGTTTGAAGTGCTTTAAAAGCGTGTTCTTTGGTTTCTAAACTATATTTATTTTTGTGATGTTTTCATTTTATTTAAGCATGTGTTTGAGTAAATTTGTTATTCAAATGACATGGATAGCTGATACTTTCAGCTGAAAAGTTTTAAGAGCATTTTTTTTTGTTTTTGGCAGTGCCTATCAAATTGTTGATTCTTTTGTCACAGTCCCATTTAATGCCACAAAAAAATTACAAACATATATACATACAAACATACATAGATACAACCATACGGGTGAAGCTAATACAAGTGTTACTCCAACTACACGATCTTATTGAATTAAAATAAAAAAATTTAACAAAATAATAATTTGCAACCATTTTAACATTACGCATTGTACTTAACACATTGTACTTAATAGTATTGTTGACAGATACTTTATGTAAAGAGTCTACCAACAAGAACGAGGGGATGTTAAAATTAAATAAACCACTCAAATTTGGTCAAAATGAGTTCTGTGTTTTTGGTTATGATTAGAGAAAATAATCTAATATACATTTCTTGAAATTACCTTACTACACGCAGTAACCTTGGACAATTTTTAAGCGTTGTTCCAAAGTAAAACAAATTACGATGAAATGGCAAACCTTCCTGAACACACTGACTAAATTTGACACTAATCCGTAACCAAACAAGTCCGGGTGAAACCGAGCATTTTATACGCTTGCAAAGTGCAAGGATACCTCAAAGTCACCATTTGTGCAAAGTTTTATCCAAATATATTTATTGTTGATTGATTTGTGTACTGGAAAGTGAATGAATCATATGAAATTTAAAATTGTGCTATATAGTAGATGTGGTTGTAGTCCGATTTCGATTCTGAAAATATTCAGGCTAGTGTTGCTGAAGATCGCAATTTGTCGATTTCAAAATGTTCTCAAGAATTGGGACTGTCTCAAACTACAAGTACAACCTGGCGGATTTTGAGTAATGAGTTGGGCTTGCATCCGTACAAAATTGTTCTCACTCCAGAACTGAAGTCATTGGACCACCGTTAACGTCGTGAATTTGCTGATTTTGCTTTGAAACAACTTGAAAACGATAACGATTTTTTTTAAGAAAATCATCTTCTCCGATGAGGCTAACTTTCATCTGAGTGGTGTGGTAAATAAACAAAATTGTCGATTCTGGTGCGAAAAAAATTCACAAATTACATATTCATGAGTAACGATTACATTCACCTAAATTGACAATTTGATGTGGATTTTAGTCTGGTGGAATCATTGGTCCGTACTTCTTTCGAAATGAAGCTGCTGACACCGTTACTGTCAATAGATAGCATTATAGATCGATGATAACAACTTTTTATGGTCACAATTAGAAAAGGTTGATCTTGACAACATTTGGTTCTAACAAGACGGGGCTACGCGCCACAGAGCAGATGAAACAATCGAATTATTGCGAGAAAAGTTTGGAGATTCGACAATTTCAAGAAATTGTGTGGCCTCCAAGAAGTTGTGATTTAGCACCATTAGACTACTTCTTGTTCGCTTATTTGAAATCATTGGTCTTTAACAATAAACCAGACTCTCTTCAAGCTTTAGACGTCAATATTGCACGTGCTGTTCATGCCATACGACTTGATTTAGTGTGAAGAAGTACGTACTCGAAAATTGTGTTCATCGAATTCGTTCCTGCAAAAAAAGTCGTGGAGGCCATTTGAATGATGTTTTATTCAGAACTCAATTGCATCGATTGTACTTCACATTAAATAAAAAACATTTCTTAACAATTTGTGTGTTTTTTTTTTTTAAATCATATCACTTTTATTGGAAAACCCTTTACTAACTTTATTTTTTAATTAAATTCTCAGTTATTTTTAGGTACTTACTTGACTTAATCTTTACAGGTTTGAACATAGTGGCTAAAATAGATAAGAAAAATTAATTAATTACAATAATAAGTAATACTAATTTTTAGTATATAATAAATTGATTAATGATGTGATTATAGATAAGAATTTAATTGATGTATAACCAGATTGTAACCAATTCAATTTGCACCTTCTCGTTCATTAACGTTCTCTGACTAAACATCGTTTGCAATCGAATTTTCAACACTCTCATTTACTGCTCTTACATAATACGAAATTCAAAATGAAAGAAGCAAGCGTAAGAAATTATGGTTAAAATGGAATTTTTCCAGGAGTCATCAAAAGTGTATAATAAAACAAGTGAACAAGGGCTAAGTTCGGGTGTAATCGAACATTTTATACTTCTCGCAATTTGCTAGGATCAAAGCCGGGCAAATACCTTCAGGTGTTGGTGGCTAAATTTAATATATTAAGCATATGAGCAAAAAGTCAACTACAGAAACATTATTAACATCATTATACTAGGGATATAAGGTTTAGACGACGGTCAATATCACGTAAGTACAAGTATATTGCCCAACATCTAATCTAACATAAACGGCTTAGAATCAGCTGGAAAATCAGAAGTCATTATTTAGGATATTTGGGTTGGGGGAAGGTATTAACTGATTTCGTTAACTTTTGACATTACTAAAGTGCACTGAGCAACAACTCACAACACACAACAAGGACATACATATTCGGCATAGAGCCTACTAGAATAACGAAAATCATTATGCAAAACAACGTACCTACAAAAATTTCTAAATTGCGTTTCTTATTAATTACAATTCACTACATTATATTAGATACATATGTATATGTTTAAATTTTAAGCTTCAGCTTCTAGTTATAACCAAAATTCAAATCTGGTTTTAATATGAATAGTTTCTTTTTTATATCGTTTTTTCCTTCTCCCCATAGTACATATTGGAGAGTTAGGTTAATTCGTTTCCCGATTTTGCACTTTTCGGCATTAAACTATAGCTTATTCAATGAACTAGGTTATAGACCTAATAATTACGATTTTCCAAAATAAATTTTTGAGGTCTTCGTTGTCCCTCACATCTGTGAAATTTATACAAGTGTCTTTTGAAGGTTAGGTATTACTATTTAAGGCTAGACCTAGTCTTCAATTCTAGTGTCATTCATTCCTTGAAACTTTTCAGCATGGTAGGTACATATTTGTTTAAATCCCCGACAAAGCAATATTTAAATGCTAGATTTTGTTAAATACTGGGCGGCCTTCTGCATTGTTGCAGTTCGGTCCTCATTTCGGTGGTGATTGAACTAGGATTTCTATTTATATAGCAGAAAAATTAAAATTGGCAAAGCTAATCTTTTGAACACATTATCATAACCCCAAAAGTACGATGAAAACATCAAAAAATAATAAAGTCATTTCCAAGAGATCATACGTGTTTTGTTAATTTGATAGAAAAATGTTCTTCGTGCAAACTTTTTATTAGTGCAAATACAACAACCAGTAGTTAAGTTTTTGTTTTCCCAAAAATAAAATTGTAACACAAACAACAACGACGAATTTACGCTTACATGTCCGCCGAAATTTCCTAGTGGTTTGTATGATAAGTACATTATTTATTAGTATTACAGTTTATAGGAATGTCGGAAATTATTGTATTGGGTGAATTGAAGTTAGATCATGGTCTGGACTGATTTCGTTAGTTTTGAAATTAGACTAAGGTACTTTCAAGGTTTTTTTTAAGATAACTCACACATTGCTCAATGTATTCAAAATCAAGTCAGCTAGAATAGGTAGGTAGGTAGGTAAGAGTGCTGCACCTTCGGGCACAATTTGCGCTAGAAGTGCTATTTTGATACACTAACGTAAGACCTTGTATCTTGATATCACGTTCTATTTTTGTGTTCAAACCATTTGGTTCCCTAAATGAAACTACTTATCTCCGTTATGATTTTTGCAGATATACATTTGAGGTTTGGTAAGTGATGGATTCCAAAAGTTCGATATCTGATTTGTTATAGAGCTGGGCACTCACAGAGGAAGTGTAAAATCGTTTTCTTGCTATCTTCGAGTTTGCAGCTACGGCAAGAATTGTAGGGCATACCCATTTTTAACGCTTTGTCCTTTTTCGAATTGTATATGTTCGAATTGCGTATTGAGCTCCCTCTTGATCGTCCCTAGCGGACACAGTATTGTCTCTGCCTCGCATTCGTCTAAAGAGGCTCCTGACTTAGCCAACTCGTCTGTCTTCCGCTGGAAGATGCTTGTTAAGTTTGGTAGACGAAAAGATAAAGAGATATCTGGATGCTCGGAATATAGCCCCGTCCCTACATCGCTATCCATTTTGGACCCGTCGATATAGATTGTGGTAGTACTCTCCTCCCCAACTAAACCTCTTCTCCATTCACGTCTAGAGGGTATTCTCACCTGGAAGCAAAATTGAAGGAGCACATTAAGTGCATCATTCGGACGTGATTTAAACGCGACGGTAACCCCTGAATAGGCTGTCCTCTAAATTCCATTTAGTTTTCTGATGTTATATTATTTATTTAATGTTGGCTACCAAATCAGTACTCCATGTGTAAGAATTGGTCTAATGACGGCCATTTCTGCTGAGTATCATATAAGCTTTCCTAATACGTGTCTAAATATTCAATTTCCAGTACAGTTTGGTATCTATCTCCACCCCCAAATATTTTGCAGTTGGAGACATATATATTGTAGTACCACCAAATGTGGAGAAGTGAAATTGAAGTATTATGATTTTATTCCTGAATACCATCAATTTCATTTTACTAGGGTTTACACCTAGTCCATTATTCAAGGCCCATTTTTTTAAAATTGTTAGCCAATAGGTGCTACTTACTACTGCGATGCCCTGTGCCAAATTACAGTTTTGTATCTTAATTATGTGCTTAGTTACGGCATGGTTTTCGTTTAATGGCGTTTTGTGGGCGTGGCAGTGGAACCCGTGTCTCTTTTGCCAAGGAACCCGTGTACCAAGTTGCATTACGATATGGACGGACGGACAGACAGGCAGTCACTCGGAATTCAACTCGGCTCGTCCGCTTGATGATTTATATGTACATACATAACTCCATATCTATCTCGATTTGTTTTAGGTGATACAGACTTCACCTCAGGTTATCGGCGGTGATTTTCCAAATATATATAGATAAGAAATACTAAATTCTATTCCGACACTAAATAACATTAAGCTTAAAAATCCAATTTTTTAAGTACGAAAAAAAGTTATAATATATTATAATAGTTATAGCAGTAAATTGCAATTTTTTGTACAATTATAAACTTAAGATTAAATTCCAAATGGTGTTCAATACGATTTTAATAACAAACATGTATTTTTATTACCATATCATATGGGCAATTTATAATTGTGTTTGTATAAATAAACACATACTACAACATATGTATGTATATATTAGGGTAAACCTAATTTTTTGAATGTTTTTAAGCACACGCAATCTGTTGCATAATTTTGACTATACATATAGAGGTATGCATAATGATCAGAATGACAAGACCATTTGATTTCCATATATCGTCTGTACGTCTATTGTCCATTGCAAATGGAGCGCTTGAATATTCAACTTCATGCTGTACATATAATTTAATGAGTGTTTTAATTCACTAATCATAGACACAGTTTTATGATTTTCGACCTTTGATGGTTAACTTTATATCACATATTTTGGTAAGGGAATGATTTGGCGTAGAATTTCCCTATGCCCTATATAAAGATCTGCAGCTCTATAGTTGGCTTAGTGATTGAGAAATAACAACTAGTTTAAGGCAGAATATTTCCCTTGGTATAATTTGTGTCGGTACCAAAAATTACTGATGTCGTTCCATACCTTCTCTTAGCACTAATATACTGAATTTTAGTATCTGTCGATCATGTTAGCTCAATATTAAATATTTCGGATACTAAGCAATATAGAATGCGTAATTTTTTATATCGGTATGTAAACCTTAAGTAATTTTACATTTATTAACCATAAGCAACATCTTATGTTCGATTGCACCTGAAGTTAACCCACGGAGTCCTATTTGTTTTACCAGTGCTCTGTGCATATTATCTTAAGAAATCTAACTCTTACTCGTAAATGGGGCTATTTAGATTAGAGTATTTTTAAGCACTAGAACAAAATGTGCTATGTAAATTTGAGGTGTTGGTAAAGTTTGATTATTTTAAGGCAATTTTTTTTCTTAACAATTTTATAATTCAATGAAAAAAAAAATCATTTTAAATTGCAAAACTCATTGATAAAAAAATTTACTGCTCTACAAAATGGTATGTTATATTTTTTTGATTAAGTCAAGCGTTTACGAGATATTCATTGTCAAATATCAATCAATGCATATCATATATACAGATATATATTTTTTATTTTATAAGTAACCATTTTTGTAGAGTAATAAATTTCTTACAAAATTATATGTTTCCGATTTATAATGATTTTTTTCATTAAGTTATAAGATTCATAGCAAAAAAATTTGCCTTAAAATAATCAAACTTTAACCGTTATTAGATTTTGGTAGAGCATTCAATTTCCTACAAAATCTATGAAACTAGATATATTTTTAAGTAATTGGAAGAATTGATAGTAATAAAAGAAAAAATGATAACTTAGGTTGCACCGAAGCTTTAATATACTTCACAAATACCAAAGATTCCTTACAAGAACTTGGATTGGTCAGTTGCTTGCCAATTTGGTAAAAATATCGCGTCAAATGAAAAAGTTTTCCATACAAACATTTATTCCGATCGTT